TCGGTATGCCAGCCTTTTGATTCCTAGTTCTTTTTGGGGGAGATAATTCCTAGCTCTACCAGGTACTCAAAGTTCAATACACTGTGGTCACTCATTCCCAAGGGCGCTTTCATCTTAACTTCCCTTATATCCCACTCATTTAGGGTAAATATCAAATCAAGCATTGCTGGTTCATCTTCTCCTCTCATTCTTGTTGGTTCTTTGATGTGCTGGCTTAGAAAGTTTCTTGTTGCCACGTCCAGCAGTTTAGCTCTCCATGTTTCTGGTCCTCCATGCGGGTCTCTGTTCTTCCAATCTATCTTCCCATGGTTGAAGTCTCCCATAATTATTAGTCCAGATCCATTCCTGCTAGCAACAGAAGCTGCTCTTTCTATTATGTTAATGGTGGCCATGTTGTTTCTATCATATTCCTGTTTAGGTCTTCTGTCATTTGGTGGTGGATTACTATGACTATAATTTTTTCCCCTCCATTTGTTACGGTACCTGCTATGTAGTCACTGAAACCTTCACAGCCCTGAATATCCATCTCCTCAAAATCCCAGCCTTTTCTTGCCAGCAGAGCTACACCACCCCCACCTCTTCCTTCCCTCTCTTTCCTCATAACATAATAGTCCTGTGGGAACACTGCGTTTGTTATCGTTTTCGTTAGCTTTGTTTCTGAGGGCTATTATGTCTAGGTTTTCCTCTAGCACCCGTTCTCCAAGCTCATTTGCTTTATTTGTATTTCATCTATGTTAGTGTACATTGCTTTGAGGCTCACTTTCTTCTGTCCCTTCTCAAATCGCCTCCTTGGTGAGTGTTCTGCTGGTGGAGGAAGCTGTTCCATGGGTGTGAGGACCTGTGAGGTGGATAACAGGGTCTCAGAGGATACTGGGATGAGGGGCGGGGGATCCAGTGAAGGGGGAGGGACAGGGAGGGTATGGGGTGAAAGGGGGGGAGGGAGGACTCAGCGGGAGGAGGGGAGGGGTAGAAGGGTGGGGATTGGGTGTGGGGGGGAGGGAGATTTGGCTGAACATTTGAGTGGGGGCAGGGAGGGATTGGGGTAGGGGGGTTTTCTATGCAGAGGAGAGTGGTGGGGTTGTCCTCCCTTCTGGTGTTACTGGGTAGCTGATTGTGGGTTCCCCCTTCGCCTCTGGGGGTGTTGTGTTGGGAGCTGTGACTTCCTGGTTTCCCCCTTCGCCTCTGGGGGTGTTGTGTTGGGAGCTGTGACTTCCTGGTTTCCCCTCTCGCCCTGCGCCTCTTCTTTGCTTCTGCCGCCACGGCTCTCTCCTCCCTTGTCATGTCTCTCTGGAGGAATACATTTTTCAATTTTCCCACGTTTTTCAGGGAGCTCTTCCTTGATAGGATCTTCTCCTTTGTGCTCTCGTTTGCAAACACTGTCTTTTTCATTCGGTCTCGGTCTTTGTTGTACCAACCTAGCCTGAAAACCTTCTCAATGCTCAGCCCCTTCCATGTCTAGTGCCCTTAGTACTTTATTCACTGCTGCTTTGTCCTTGTCATTCCACTCTGTCCTATTAGAGCCTTCCTGCTCTTTAATACCCACAGCAACCACTGGTCTGTTCCTTTCCAGCAGTTGGCTAGTGGAGCGTGCCGCCTCCTGTGAGGTGGCTGCTTTCATGGCCACCTCCATCACTGCAGTCATGTGTGTGTGTGTGTGTGTGTGTGTGTGTGTGTGTGTGTGTGTGTGTGTGTGTGTGTGTTGTCGACCCGGGCACTGCTGGGTACCCCTGTCTAATTGTCTACAAGCATGAACTGCTTCGAGCGAACATGTCTGAAGAATGCTGGAGCGCCAACCTGTAAAACTTCTCAGGGAAGAGCTGTAGAGTGGAGGAGACGGCGAGGCCCAGCTGGGGCGTCCAGCTGGCCACCCACACGGGCCTGGAGTCTCTGGGCGTGTACGGCAACTGGATGTACATGCTGCATCTGTGTTAGTAAGATAATTACGATGCCTTCCTAAAATATTCATTCTTTCAATGTAAATATTTATTATGCCAATAGCACAACGGTCGAGAAAAAAGTGATTGCCAAAATATGTTAATGGAAATTGAGTTCCAGCTAGCTTACATCAGTGTTTTTTACTTTGCAATTTATATTATGTATAAAATGGGTCTTGAATGCTTCAATCTGTATTGCCTTCATTCTGATCGGCTGCACTCTCGCATTGCCCACATATTCGGAAATGATCTCCTGATGTCCTCTGATTTGTTTAGCCTTTCAGCTCCCAGGCTGATGCTGAATGCTCCAGTTTTGTGTTATCATATATGATGGTATTTTCTAAATAATTCCTGGGTGATATTCGTAAGTGCTTAAACGTAAGAGGGCCAATGTGGCTTACACTATTCACTTTATGATACTAAACTTCTATTTTTTTCTTAATGAAAATTGTCTTCCTTTAAGGTCATAGTGAATTATTAGTATTGGTTCATATTAACCTTTGAGTACTTTTTTGTGTTAGGGATGAACTTGAGAAGTTTCTTGATAGCCTGCAACTCCAACCTTTATCTTTTCACACCTTTGTTCAGATCTCCTGTGGTGAAAATCATCTCTGGCGTTGATATAATCTGCAAATATCGACATGTGTTCGTCTGGATGTGCAAACAGGATCTAATTTTTGCTTCTGGGTTCCCTCTTTCATGTCATCTTCGTGTTTTTTTAATTGCAGCTTTTATCGAGTTTGCTAAAACTTAACTCTGTCAGTTCTTTATTATTAACCTTGCCTCTTATTCAGCTCTGTTGCATACTTCAGGGTTTTTCCTCATTTCCTATTTGTGAATTAGGATGAGTCTCCATGCCTGTCAAAACGTTCCCAGATATGGGGTCTCATTTAGTATGTTCACTTCATACTGAAGGCTTCATTGTCAAGGTTCCTGAAGGTTATCAAGGTGTTGAACATCTTGGCATCAACACTAACACTGCTCTGATAATGCGACTTCCTGCTGATAGGAATATTGCCTATTCCCAGATTTTTCCATTTCGAATTGTTCAACTTTCTCTGTATTGTTGGTTTCGAGGTTTCATGGTTCCCGTTAACATTCACAGAACTGTGCCTTTGCCATTACTCTTAACTATTTCTGGGGTTTATTTAGGTCAATCGGGTGTCCTCGCCTGTGTGTGCACACTGCTTCTTCTCCTGCTGATTTTTCTCTCCGTTTCTGAGCCATATAACACAATGACCCCAAGTCCAGTTTTATATTTATGTTTTCTTCTATTCAGACTATTGACGGCAAAGCCTTTCGTACTCTTCTTGATAAGATGAACTTTTTTCTTTACCCTGAAGAGTACACGTGATGATTTTTGACAAGTTAGCAGACTTAGAGCCTTTGCTTTCATCATAAGCTTTAATCTATTAACTTTATCTTATTTTACTCTTGAGGGCCACGATCCCCCAGTCGGGTTACTGGAGTGTATACTTTACACTGTGGTGAAGGGCACGTGACTGTCAATATCATTGTGTGGTCAGATATATTGGATGGGTTTGTATTCGAGAGGTAAGGTGAAAAGATTTCTTGTGAAGAAATTCTTATGATTTCTTCCATGAATCTTTGATTATTAGCAACTTTTGATAGTGGATGTAAAGAGGTCAGTGGCCAGACGAAAATTTCTGGCATAAACGCTCATGATGAAGGAAGCAGAGACATGTGAGGTTACCATGAGGTGCTTCCGGAGCTTAGCGTTCCCACGGCCCGGTCGTCGACCAGGCCTCCTGGTTGCTGGACTGATCAACCAGGCTGTTGGACGCGGCTGCTCGCAGCCTGACGTATGAGTCACAGCCTGGTTGATAAGGTATCCTTTGGAGGTGTTTGTTAAGTTCTTTCTTGAACACAGTGAGGGGTCGGCCAGTTATGCCCCTTATGTGTAGTGGAAGCGTGTTGAACAGTCTCGGGCCTCTGATGTTGATAGAGTTCTCTCTCAGAGTACCTGTTGCACCTCTGATTTTCAACGGGGGTATTCTAGACATCCTACCATGTCTTCTGGTCTCATGTGATGTTATTTCTGTGTGCAGGTTTGAGACCAGCCCCTCTATTATTTTCCCGGTATAGATTATTATGTATCTCTCCCGCCTGCGCTCAAGGGAGAACAGATTTAGGCTCTTTAGTCGGTCCCAGTAGTTTGGATGTTTTACTGAGCGTATCATGCACACTCTCCAGATCAGCAATTTCTCCAGCTTTGAAAGGGGCTGTCATTGTGCAGCACACTCTACTCTTGAAAAGTATCATCATCGGTTCAGCATTTCTAGTGTGAAAAGTTCTTGTTATCCAGCATGTCATTTTTCTTGCAGTTGTGACGGCTACTTTATTGTGTTCTTTAAAGGTAAGGTCTTCCGACATGAGTACACCCAGATCCGTTACATTGCCTTTTCGTTCTATGTTAGGATTTGCCTGAGTTTTGTACGTGGTTTCCGTTTTTATATTTTAATTTTTTCCGTAGCGCATGAGCTGGAATTTATCTTCGTTAAACACCATATTATTTTCTGTAGCCCATAGAAAGACCTGATCTACATCTGATTGGAGGTTTGCCGTGTCCTCTATGTTGTCTACTCTCATGAAGATCCCAGTGTCATCTGCAAAGGATGATACAGTGCTATAGGTTGTGTCCTTGTCTACAATAATGTGCTACAATTAATGAACATAATAATGTGAACAATTGTGTGCTACAATAATGAACATAATAATGTGAAATAATGGATTTATGTCATTGACTATAGAGCAAAGATCATTCAAACTGTTTACAAGCTTCAGTGTTTCGTACTTGCTGAAAATTGTACAAATTTACTTTATTTCACTTAATATTAAAAGTCATTTAAGGAGAATGAATATTATTGCCTACTGAGTATTGTTTCTTAACATCGACCGTCAGTGCCTACTTTGGCTTTCCTCAGATTAGCCTTGACATAAGTGCACAATATTCTCCCACTCTGTTGTGTAGTGCCCAAACATGCCGTATATAATGATTACTTGAGAATAGTCCGAGTGTAGTCTACAAGGACCACCATGGCGTTCCTACTGGACAGTAGCCTGTGGAGGTCTTGGAGCTCTGGGAGCGGGAGGCGGGTGACGACCAGGAGCCTCGTCGACCACACCAGCAGGCGGCCCAAGAGGGACCACTGGGCGAAGGCGGCGAGGAAGGCGAGGTCGTCGCTCACCACCACCACCGTCACGCACCACGACACCTGCCGCACCTGTTGACGTCAACATGGTAGACGTTATGTGAGAGTGACCTGCCCGCCTCAGTAGTGATGTGGGAGTGACCTGCCCGCCTCAGTAGTGGTGTGGGAGTGACCTGCCCGCCTCAGTAGTGGTGTGGGAGTGACCTGCCCGCCTCAGTAGTGGTGTGGGAGTGACCTGCCCGCCTTGGTAGTGGTGTGAGAGTGACCTGCCAGCCTCAGTAGTGGTGTGAGAGTGACCTGCCCGCCTCAGTAGTGGTGTGAGAGTGACCTGCCAGCCTCAGTAGTGGTGTGAGAGTGACCTGCCCGCCTCAGTAGTGGTGTGAGAGTGACCTGCCTGCCTCAGTAGTGATGTGAGAGTGACCTGCCCGCCTCAGTAGTGGTGTGAGAGTGACCTGCCAGCCTCAGTAGTGGTGTGAGAGTGACCTGCCTGCCTCAGTAGTGATGTGGGAGTGACCTGCCTGCCTCAGTAGTGGTGTGAGAGTGACCTGCCCGCCTCAGTAGTGGTGTGAGAGTGACCTGCCTGCCTCAGTAGTGGTGTGAGAGTGACCTGCCCGCCTCAGTAGTGGTGTGAGAGTGACCTGCCCGCCTCAGTAGTGGTGTGAGAGTGACCTGCCCGCCTCAGTAGAGGTGTGAGAGTGACCTGCCCGCCTCAGTAGTGGTGTGAGAGTGACCTGCCCGCCTCAGTAGTGGTGTGAGAGTGACCTGCCCGCCTCAGTAGTGATGTGAGAGTGACCTGCCCACCTCAGTAGTGGTGTGAGAGTGACCTGCCCGCCTCAGTAGTGATGTGAGAGTGACCTGCCCACCTCAGTAGTGGTGTGAGAGTGACCTGCCCGCCTCAGTAGTGGTGTGAGAGTGACCTGCCCGCCTCAGTAATGGTGTGAGAGTGACCTGCTCGCCTCAGTAGTGGTGTGAGAGTTACCTGCCCGCCTCAGTAGTGGTGTGAGAGTGACCTGCCCGCGTCAACAGTAATGTGAGAGTGACCTGCCCGCGTCAACAGTAATGTGAGAGTGACCTACCCGCCGAGCCTTGTGGACCTCGTGGGAGATCTGGGCTAGCGTCACGTTAGCGTCCTCCCCGCCCGCTGCCACCTCCCACACCGACACTCCCCTGGGAGCCAGCAGTTGGTCTTTCACCTGCCCAGGAATATTTACATATTTAAAAAAAAAAGTTGTATATAATGAATCCTAATGGTCTCAAACTATTCATTACCACACATGTCCAATGTTCTATTAATGCTGTACAACATGTCGATAATTTTGATGATGTTTATTTTTCTTTTTTTTTTGAGATATATAGAAGAGTTGTTACATTCTTGTACAGCCACTAGTACGCGTAGCGTTTCAGGCAGGTCCTTAATCCTATGGTCCCTGGAATACGATCCCCGCCGCGAAGAATCGTTGTTGCAACCAAGTACACATTTTACTGTTGCGTTAAACAGAGGCTAAGGATTGATTTGTTAAGGATTTGCGCCCAGTAAATCCTCCCCGGCCAGGATACGAACCATGACAAGCACTCGCGGAACGCCAGGCGAGTGTCTTACCACTACACCACGGAGACTGTAAGACACTATTAGATTAGATTACACTATTAGTTATTAGAATCTCCAGCACGTCATCACCAGAGATATCCTCACAAACGACAATAAAATAATCGACAGTTGCAGCAACAATAGAAGATTGAACATTGGCGTGGCACTGCACATCAAAGCCACCCAGCCAACTATCAACATCCAGCTGGCACGCGTTTTTAAATAAATAAATAAATAAATATGTTTATTCAGGTAAGGTACATACTTACATACAAGTGACGTTACATTAATGGATTGATATATAGATAGAGCTAGTACATACAATGCCTAAAGCCACTATTACGCAATGCGTTTCGGGCAAGAAAAACATTAATATCTAGAACTTTATACTAATTGAGCATAAAGAATAAAAAGTGTTGAGAACAAATACAAATACAGATAATAAAAAAAAAAGGGGAACATGACTGAAAAAGCAGCACAAATACAATAGGTTGACAAACAGTGGTGATTAAACAAAAAAAAAACAAAATTACAGACATGGGTTGACAATAGAGGAGTGAGGTAGGTTTTCGCTCACCAAGATGAAGCATCAAGCATCCCGCCCCACCCATCACTAAATTGCTGGTGATTCCTAAGCTGCAGTGAGCCTTTTGGCTCATAGTGAGGTGCTTCACCTCACTCTCCAAGCAACAGCCTGGTGGACCAAACTCTCACAAGTCAAGTCTGGCCTCGGGCCGGGCTTGGGGAGTAGAAGAACTCTCAGAACCCCATCAACCAGGTATCAACTAGGTATCAACCAGGTATCAATCAATAACAGCACACGGGTAACTACCAATCCCTGAGTAATAGTCCAAGGATCTGTCACGACTTGACAGCTCGACTTAATTAACGAAGACTTTACGTTAAGGCTCGGCGTCACTGAGACCGCTAGCAAACGCCGATTAGTCAACACGATTACTAATCACCGCGTACAAAATCAAACAACAATTAACTACGTTAATTCAATACACTGACTTCAAGAATAATTAACGCTACGATACACTGACTTCAAGAATAATTAACGCTACGATACACTGACGTCTCAAGAATAGTAAACATGGAGTATACTGACTCCAGAAGATTAAACAAACGCTAGAATACTGAAATCTCAGGAGTACATAAACACAAAGTATACTGATTACTCAAGTTACTTAACGACAAGTATACTGATTACTCAAGTTACTTAACGACAAGTATACTGATTACTCAAGTTACTTAACGACAAGTTAAACTGACGTCTCGAGACACTGAACAAAGTTACACTGACGTCTCGAGATATTGAACACAAAGTTACACTGACGTCTCGAGACACTGAACAAAGTTACACTGACGTCTCGAGATATTGAACACAAAGTTACACTGACGTCTCGAGACACTGAACACAAAGTTACACTGACGTCTCGAGACACTGAACACAAAGTTACACTGACGTCTCGATACACTGAACACAAAGTTACACTGACGTCTCGAGACACTGAACACAAAGTTACACTGACGTCTCGAGACACTGAACACAAAGTTACACTGACGTCTCGAGACACTGAACACAAAGTTACACTGACGTCTCGAGACACTGAACACAAAGTTACACTGACGTCTCGAGATACTGAACACAAAGTTACACTGACGTCTCGATATACTGAACACAAAGTTACACTGACGTCTCGAGATACTGAACACAAAGTTACACTGACGTCTCGAGATACTGAACACAAAGTTACACTGACGTCTCGAGATACTGAACACAAAGTTACACTGACGTCTCGAGATACTGAACACAAAGTTACACTGACGTCTCGAGATACTGAACACAAAGTTACACTGACGTCTCGAGATATTGAACACAAAGTTACACTGACGTCTCGAGACACTGAACACAAAGTTACACTGACGTCTCGAGATACTGAACACAAAGTTACACTGACGTCTCGAGATACTGAACACAAAGTTACACTGACGTCTCGAGATACTGAACACAAAGTTACACTGACGTCTCGAGATACTGAACACAAAGTTACACTGAAGTCTCGAGATACTGAACACAGTTACACTGAAGTCTCGAGATACTGAACACAAAGTTACACTGACGTCTCGAGATACTGAACACAAAGTTACACTGACGTCTCGAGATACTGAACACAAAGTTACACTGACGTCTCGAGATACTGAACACAAAGTTACACTGACGTCTCGAGATACTGAACACAAAGTATACTGTACGGGGTCACTGAGACCAGAGCAACAATACGCAATACTGACACTGAGTCACAACAATACGGGTCACAGGAACCGACAATAATTGCTGTCTTAAAGTCCCGCTACAGCGGTCACACAGAACAGCTATAGAGGTCTTTGCCTCACGTGCTCCCTCAGGGAATCGAACTCGGTCTCGCAAGGGAACTAGAAAGAATGAACACTGGACAGCTGAATAATTCAACACAAGGAATTTGCACATACGGAAGATACAGAGAAATAATATTTGAGTACTCAGGTTAGTTAATACCGGTATGACATCCACTCATAACCAATCTCACTCACTGCCCCAGCTGTTGATTGGTGCACACGCTGGAGATGACGGAGTGAGGGGGTGGTATGAGCTGGCTGGACATCACTTCCCTCAGGGTAGCGAGTGAGGGGGTGGTATGAGCTGGCTGGACATCACTTCCCTCAGGGTAGCGAGTGAGGGGGTGGTATGGGCTGGCTGGACACCACTTCCCTCAGGGTAGCGAGTGAGAGGCACCAGGGGGTGCCTGCCTGGTGAGGCGTCCCCAGGCCCAAGGCCTGGAGTGGCGGGGAGGTGTGGCTCCCGCGACAATAGAGGCGAAAGTCGCCTAGTTTTCCCACTAATAAACTTGGGCAACCTGCTCTCGCACAAGACAGCACATATATGACTTATTGCTTATAGTCACTATTCCGCTTATAAATTAGTAAATATGTAACATATTCCAAGCCATATTTTTTTCAAGGCACTAACTTTTTTTCTCAGATTTATTAAACAATAGAGATTTTATACAAAATTTTACAATATCCTGAGTCACTTTACAATTTATTTAAATATTTTAGTTTTGTTTAATATTTTTATATAACTGTAATATCAATATAGGTATAGGTTCAGTACTAATTGTAATATCTTGACATACTAAGAAGGTTAGATTAAGTTGTGGTTTACTCTCTCTACTCCAAAACTCGGAAACCCAACTTACTGTTCCCCCTATTCCACCCTGGCTTTATACAACTCCTAATACAGCAATACAACTCGAAGACAACATTCCAAAGTCTGCACCAAACTCAGCCATAGCCTCAGTCTTTCTCTCAACAATGACAAATTGCTACCCAAATACCACAGCGATTCATACAGATGGATCTCGCATCATCATGAACAACGTACCCTCGGTCACTAGCGCTGTATGGATACCGGAATACCATCTCAAGCAGGGATGGCGGTTACCAAACCAACTATCTGTTTTCACAGCTGAATTATATGCCTTATATCAAGCTCTCTAATTAATCACAACATTACCAATCGAGACATATACAATCTGCAGTGACTCCAAGAGTGCGATTCAAGCCATTACGTACTCTTCAACAACGTGCAAGGAGTTTGTTTACCCATGTCTTCAACTTCTTCATGAACATCGATTAAACGGTTACGATACCTCTATCCAATGGGTCCCAGCGCATTGTGGTATTCTCCATAATGAACTAGTAGATCAACTAGCCAAAGCAATGCACAACACACCTCACATTACCCGTCATACAATTCTCCATGTTGCACGTAAAGGAGCCTTCAAAAATACCATCACCCAAGATTTTGCGACGAAATGGAAAACGTCATGCTCACCCTTGTACTATGGGTCCATTAAAAAGAAATTGGAAACTTGGAAACATGTCAGATATAAAAGCAGAGAAATTGATATAGCGATGACCAGAGTTAGAGTTTGGCTGGGACACACCAAACTAGCAGCACACAGCTCTAAGTACAGAACAGACATCAATGAACTCTGCATCCACTGTCAGGTGCCTGAAACAGTCGAACACTATCTCCTGCACTGCTTCCGACATTATAGTGCCAGAGTAAATCTCAAACAAGTACTTATTTCACTTAAAATACCCTTCACCATCGAGCATATATTAGGAGGCGGTGACCACTCGTTACAAGAAAAATACCAAATAGTCAAAGCACTGGCTAAATATCTGCAGTCGACCAACAAATTGGGTCACATCTGACCCGCGCCACATTTATACCTGGCGCCACCAACAGCTAAACACAGAAAACAACTGCCTCGTCGCAGCACCAAGGATCAGCTGACGCCATAAACACAACACACCGCCCTACGGTGCGGCAAGTCTCCATCTAACATACACCTCTGTTCTAGTCGCCGCTCCTCTGTCTACAGCACAACGCAACAAGCACTTTTGAAACTCTTATCATCCTCAACATAAACGCCTCTACCAACATCTGTACTGGTGCAGTCATCGGGAGGACAAACCCTTCATGCAAACTGCACCTACTATCAAGAAGAAGAAGAAGTTGTGGTTTTCTATTCAGCTTTTCAAGGTAAACTC